TGCTCCGGTAATACGTGCGACGGCGCTGCGCGAGGTCCATGGAAAGGTGCTATTTCGGGGTGGAAGTGGGATTGGGTTGGGCTTGCGGCGCTCGCTTGACAGACACAAAGCCAGCAGGATTCAGTCTCGAAGATGAATGCATTACAAGGACAGTTCGGTAATATGGCAATCAACCCCACCTAGTGGCTCCGATTCCTTTTGCCATCTCTATCTCGAATTCAATCTTCTGTCGCCACGCATTGCTTTCGTCTTATGGCTTCCCTCCACCAACGGGAGGCATAAACATGTTGCGATGTTCCGAACAAAGAGCATATCCGCTCCGGGGATGGCTTGTTGTAGGGGACAAACAAAAAAATACACAAAGGAGACTGTAGCAGCCAATACGACGATTTCGAGCCCGTGGCTCTGCATGTCTCCTTCAGTCGCAAAGAGCAGAGAGTCCGCGTCAGCGTGGTTTTCCAGCACAGCGGTAACTCGATCCGATATACTGCAGCATGGGTGGCCTATAGGCTATTGATCGGGGAGGGAATCAAACCGTTGGATCGGGTCGGCTTTGTTTAAATTAGGGGCTTTCTATCTGGTAACTCTGCATGCCTATCTCTCGTATCTGTGGAAACCTCGATGCCAACGTGGTTTCCCTTTCGGGTATAAATGACGCAACCCCGAACTTCACTCTCACAGCTCAATGTCCGCACCTTCATATAGAAGCTACACTTGAACACTGTCATTCACACATATAGAGAATTCGCCGGCCGCAGCGAATTCTCACTGTTGCGCTGTCTAAGACGCGTCTTTGTCTTTGTCTCCAGCTACTCATTGGAGCATCTTGTTAACACAATTGGCCGTTCGTACAAAAGCTTCTGCGCATCTATCTTTTCCTCATTCTCCCCACAAAAGTATTTCAACGCAAATCAAAAGTCGGTCGATCGGGGTACCCTTCACCAGTCTTTTTCGCCTTCAGAAAAGTCAACGTTCTCTACCATTGGAGTCATCCTTTTCGTCGGCAGCATGGTCTTCAAGTCTGCACAAACCATCCAGCCGTCCCACCAAGACCTGGCCAGCTATGTCCTCAACCATGAGAACTATGACGCGTCGAAGGAGATCCTCATCGATGTTAATAACCCCAGGAGAGTCATTACTCTAGGTACGTGCTACCAGCCCAACATGATACCCAATCAGTGTGCTCCACAGACGAATTGACGAACGATCGACTACTTGCCGAGATACAACGTTCTAACACATACCAGGTATGGCCCGTACTCTCGTGCAGAAGCTGTCAAGTGCCCTGCCCAAGCGAGGCTTGGCCCGCAACGGAACCGTCTGTCTGCATATATTCAACGACATCATGTTCCCGATTCTGTTTCTTGGCATTGTCGCCGCTCGTGGCCGCTTCACTGGCTCGAACCCTGCATACACTCCAACTGAGCTTTGCCACCACTTCAAGATCTCGGAGACTCAGTTCATCATCACCCAGAGGGCGCATCTCAAGCCCGTGAAAGAAGCAGCAGAAAAGGCCGGCGTGCCATTGAGCAACATCATTCTGCTCGAGACTGGGGAGGAAATATGCCCTCAACCGGAGAAGTTCACCACCGTTAAGGAGCTTCTGCAATACGAAGCTGAGCCATGGCAGAGCTTCACAAACGAGGAGGAATCCAACAGCACGATTGTCTCTCTAATGTCGACGAGCGGAACCACAGGATTGCCGAAGATGGCAGCCAGGACCCACTTCAGCTGGATCACTGAGAACCAAGCCATCGAGGACACCGTCGGGAAGCCGTATGAGGTGAGTGAACTCGCTGCAGCATTTCACAGCCGAGAAGTAGTGTTCTGACCCGCCTGGCAGGTCCGTCGCTTGCTCTGTGTGCCCTTCTTCCACGGATTCGCTGCGCCCCTGGCTCTTGTTAGTGCTCTCCGTTCTGGACATACCACGTATGTGATGCGCAAGTTCGACCAGGAACACTTCTTGTGCTCCGTCAGGCGCTTCAACATCACTGAAACTGCGATTGCGCCTCCCTGGTCACCAAGTTCTTGGCTTTGCCTGAGTGCGAGCAGGCAAAACTCCGGTCGTTGAAGATGGTCTGGTGTGCGGGAGCCGCCCTTCCTTACGCGCAGCAGGAACAAGCAGTCAGAGTCCTCTTCTCATGTAACGCTCGGCTCAACCAAGTCTGGGGCATGACTGAGGGAGGTTGGATCACAACCTTCCATCACCCGGAGTCGGATGAGACTGGCTCAGTGGGTCGTCTGAATGCAGGATTCGAAGCGAAGATAGTTGGAGAAGACGGTCAGGAGCTGACCGAGGAAGGTGCCATCGGCGAGATTGTCGTCCGTGGCCTGCCTATCATGATTGGCTACTACGGAGACGCTGACGCGACGAAAGAGACGATTGACGAAGAAGGTTGGATGAAGACTGGTGATGTGGCGTCCATCCGTGATGGGAAGGTCTACATCGTCGGCAGGAGTAAGGAGATTATCAAGCTCCGTGGTTGGCAAGTCGCACCCGCCGAACTCGAAGGCACCCTGCTGAGCCATGACGGCATCACCGACGCGGCTGTTCTAGGCGTGCAGCAGGAGGACCAGGCTTACGAAGTTCCCCGCGCGTATGTCGTGTGCAAGGACAACGTCAAGCTGTCCGCAGAGGAAGTCAAGACCTATCTGCTGAAGTTCCTGGCAAAGTACAAGGTCGGGGACTGTCAGATCCGCTTCAGAGACAGCATCCCGAAGTCGAGCACGGGAAAGACTCTGCGTAAGCAGCTCGTCCAGGAGGTTCATCAGGAGCAGGGAGTCGAAGCAACCACCGACAATCCGGTCTAGCAGGTCGGTGAGGTGAAGAGTGCTAGTCGCGCCCGAGGGATGACGCTATGATCACTGCAAATGGCGTTGGCGCCTTATGGAATTCGATATTGTTGAATGAGGCAAGTTGCATTCTGAGCTTAGCATTGGTGTAAGGAGAACAAGGAACATAGACACGGTAATGATAATCCAAAATTCATCTTGTATTTATTGAACCTCCCCTGACACGGCCCGTTTGGAGAGATGATGAACTCCGCTCTTAAGCGACGCTTCCACAACCAAAACAGTGCTATCGAAAAGCGATGATGATATTGCACCACTCGTACACGAAGTTCAGACTCTACATGTCAACGAGATTGCCCAAGCCCGTTTGTGATGTCGGCAGTAACAAAGAATCCAAGATCAAACGATGTCCCATGCCCTATATGCTACCTCAATAAGCCCTCGAATTGCAATCTTGTCCAATTAAATGTGCAAACGAGCCGTTTTGGAAGGAGGGAGCCAGGTCATCATTATAGAAGGCGCAGCGGACACCTACATAATGATGTATACCGGCCCCGAGCGTCGTTCTGGAGAACTTCGCAACTCCTGCAAGAAGACAATCCGCATACCATGCTGCTTCCACGGTTACGAACGCCTGCTACAGGCTCGCAATCATGCCTCGCTATCGTCGAGAGCGCATTGTCGAGTTTGCGCATCTCTCAACAGGCGACAACCTTCCCTAGGCCTACCACCGCCGTCCGTCATGCATCCCATCAAGCCCAAGGTCGTGCCAACGGAGCCAAAGATGGACCAGGCAAGCGTCTTGGTGCAAAGAAGTCGGGTGGTATGTATGACCTCTTACTCCAAAGTGACATTCTCATGGGATCATCGTTTTGCACTCTCTCCGCTGGCACCTCTGCTCTTCCAGCATCCAGCAAGCCCAACTGACATAACCTTTCCTCAACAGAACAATACGTGATCCCTGGCAACATCATCTTCCGTCAACGCGGCACGCACTGGTTCCCCGGCGAGAATTGCGGCATGGGACGCGACCACACTATTTACGCCACGCAACCGGGCTACGTAAAATACTACCGCGATCCCCTCAAACACCCAAAGCGTCAATACATTGGCGTTGTCTTCGAGCGCAGCCAGACGCTTCCACAACCGCCCAATGCCGTCCGGAGGCGGAGACTCGGCATGCTGGCGTACCAGATGCCGCAAACGTACGTAAGCAGCACAGCAGTGGGCGACCTCATCACGGGGCAAGAGTCCGGGTTGGACGGGAACGCCGGACAGGGCGTGGGACAGCCGAGCACGATCAGAGAGGCGCCGAGGGAGATTAGGGGACAGAAGATTGTGGAGAATGCGAAGGGTGAGGTGATCAAGGGCGTGCCGACGCTACGGCCGGGATACCAGTACAGACAGGCGAACTGGGAGATTGGACGTGCGGCGGAGAGGGCAAAGATTCAGGTTCAGGAGTTCAAACCCAATGACCGCTATGCGGCCTGGCGGAAGGCGAATGCGAGAAAGGCCAGGAATGCGGAGAGAAGGGGTATGAGGAGGAAGTAGTGTACAGTGGGAAGAGGGAAAAGAGGGCTTGAGTAAGACTGAAAAGGGACAATGTACAAATATCGCATGGGCAGGAGTAAGATTGAGGAACTGTATCGCTGTTCTCTTGCACAAAGGCAATCTTGACCTATCCCCGTCTGTACAAAGGAGTGGCGTCCTCGCATATGCACAAGTCAATCTCTGGTGCTGTCGACTTCTCCCATCGTGTCAACGAACCCTCTCATCACGCTAATGTTACTGCCCTCATCAGTGTAGACCAGTCAGAAACATAACCAGTGCGTCGTTTCCTTCCCTTCCTTTCCCTTCCCTCCCCTTCCACAACAGTCGCGTGATGCGGTATCGACACCTGAACACGCCTCGGCATCCCCTGCAGAGGACTCAGTGCTAGTGACCGGCGCTGAGCTGGTCTGGCAGAGCGGCAACCAGAATCCCATACTCGAAGAAAGAGAAGTGTAGCCTGTTTTGCCATCGAGCACGACCAAAAAATTAGTGCTGCCGTTTTCTTATACATAAACATCTTTCTACGGCCAATACCTGCTCCAAAAACTGGTGTTCTGCATGCAATTGAGACGCGTATCTCTGTTACTACAGGGCGACAAAAGAGCAACCATGTGTCAATCTCCATAGTCGAAACGATATAGAATGGCAAAAGTCAATGCTCCCTCTGAGAATCGAACTCAGATTATCGGATCGCTCGAGCTATGCTCGATCAGATTATGAGACCGATGTACTAACCATTATACTAAGGAAGCAAGGATAGATTACAGTTGGCTCGTTTGAAAAATATCTTATGTATTCCAAGTGCTGGTTGAAGCACCAACATCGGCCACCGTACCCATGAAAGCATCGAACAAGGCTTTTCGTAATCATTCAATAGAATCGATCATATCTAGCCTTGGCATCGGCAATCAACCAGCCGCGGTCGAGTTCCGCATGTCAACAAAGCCCGCGTAAACATCGAACATACACATGAGTTACAATCCTTACCGCGCAACATGTTAGAATAAAAGTCCAACGCATACAGTACGGCTGAACAGCATGCAGCCTAGCCCACCTTTCCGCGTGCAGCCATCCGGCGCTCTGGCGTCTCCCAGTCAATCGCAGTATTCCCTGGATCTCCAGGCTCTATCTCTAGACGACCATAGCGAACCCCTTCGCCATTACCGCAGCAAAAAGTCGACCATGTCTTCAGCGATGATATCGACGGGCCTAGTGACTTTACTATCAACATGGAGAAGTGGATGAGAGGGGGCACAATTGGCAAGAAGGGCACATGGGATTTCAGGAAGCTGGATGAGATCCGAGAGCACGGCAATGCAGAAGAGAAGAAGAAGGTGGATGAAGTTCGCGACACGATGCAAGAATGGGTGGATGAAGACAACGCTCCGGGCCAGCCAGCTAACGTTCAGGAATTGACGGATGGCCCATCCCCTGCAAGCGCGAACGACATGCACAACATGGAAGATGGTGTTCTGCACGAGCCTCTCGAAACGGAGCACCAGGAAGATGATCCCGTGGATTCTTATGTATCAGAAGGAGCTCAGGACCATCTGGAGGACGATGAACCTCTTTCGCAGGTGACTGCTGTGGGCACAAACCACAGCGATGAGGAAGATGAGGGCTCATTGTCGGTGGATCCTCAACTAGCGGAAGAAAGCTCTCTTTGGGATGCATACCAGAGCACAGCTACACCACAACCGTTCAAGAGGAAGGATCTGCTGCAGCCCACGGTGGAAGATTATCACAGTGAGATAACACCGAGCAGACCCGCCATCCCCCGGCAACACACTCCCAAAGGTGTGATGTCGCCTGCAGAACACCCACGCTCCATATCTCGTGGCCGTCGATTTTCGCCTGGCCGACCATCTAGCCCTACGCTATCACCGGAAAGAACGCCAATGGCGCCAGCGGCGGAACGTTCAGCCAGTGCGAACCGCGAAGAGACAATCGTCGCTCTTCGAAGAGAACTTGAGGACGTCCGCAATGATCAACGAGATACTATACGAGCAAACGACCAATTTCTTGCGCAAGTGCGGAACGAACAGACAATGCGCGCACAAGCAGAAGCCGAGCTGGGCAGAGCAAAAAACAGGATACAAATCTTGACCACTGTTGCAGACGGCGATCGTACTCGGCATCAACAAGAGACGGCAGGTCTGAGAAGGCAACTCCAACAATCGCAAGAGAGTGAAAAAGAGGCGAGACTGAGCGCCGAAACGCTCCAGCAAGAGCTGGATCACCTCCGAGAAACCGAGGACGCGGATTCGCATGATCTACAATTGCAGCTCAAGGAAGCAAGGGACATCGAGCGCAGTCTGAAAGGAGAGATGCACACTTTACAGGCGAAAACAGACGACCAAGCTGCGACTATTGTAGAGCTCACGGCAGAGAAAGACGGCCTGGTCGAGAATCTCACCACTGCTCAAAAGGCAGAAGAAGATGCGAAGGACCTGGAGTGGAACCTGAGAGAAGATGTTCGTGAGATGGAGGAGAAGCAAGAGGAGCAAGCTGCAACGATATCACAACTCCGAGAAAACATTTCTGAACTGGAAAGGAAGTATGGCGAACAGGACCAGATACTAGTACGGTTGCAAGACGAGAAAGATCAATTGACCAAGGACTTGGCTGTCGCTTGGAAGTCATATGAAGAGGCGAAACAAGCAAGTGAGGCAGCGCATATGCACATGGGAGAGCTAGTAGAAGCTAGAGCAGCTCTCCAGTCGACACGTCGCATAATGGACCAAGAAAAAATTTGGCTGACGAACGCCGTACCAATGAAGCTTCTCGTCACGCGCAGCGGGAACAGGAATGGCAGAAGCAGCGGAGCAATCTCCACTCACAGCTCGAAGCGATGAGGAAGGAGGTACTCGAGGTCCAGCAGAACAACACGGAGACACTCAACGCTAGATACATGGAGCGCATGACAAAAGAAAAGGCGGAGAGCGAACTCAGAAGCCTTCGCTTTCAGTTCGAAAGCTTCCAGACCGACGCGAAGTCTCAGCTTGACGGACTGCGCCGGGCAAAGGAGCATAGCGAGCAGCTGCTTGAAGCCCTCAGGGTTCAAGTGAGCACGCTCCGTCAGCATCTGGACGACGAACGCGCGCGTCACGACGAAGAACTCGACCGCATGCGTCAACGCGCCGTGTCCCCAATCCCAACAATTCACCAGCAAGACCTCGAAGAACACAAACGCTCAGCCGAGCGCGCAGACGCCGAAGCCAATGCCCATGCGCTCGAAAACGACCGTCTGCGCGCCGCCCTCATCGCTCTGCAAACTCGTCACGAGAACCTTCAAACCGAGTACGAAGCGCTGAATGAGCAGCGACATCACAATGACGAGCTTAAAACCCGCGTTCAGACCCTGGAGTCTGAGCTCAGCGTCGCGAAAGAGGAGCTGGCAGCCGCTCGCGCCGAGCATGTTGAGATCAACGCGGCGCTTGATGCCCGCATCGGATCCGCTATCGAGGCGAAGCAGAAGTCCTGGCGCCGGAAGGTTGAGGAGTTGGAGCGGGAGAGGGAGCTCATGGGTAAAGCGCTGATGGATGCGTGGGGCCGTGAGGAGTGCGGTAAGCCGGAGAGGAGGAAGGGAGAGGAGAGGCAGAGGTTCGAATATCGCTATGCGAAGGCATGAGTTGAGGTAAGTTTGGGGATCAGGGTGGTCATTGGGTCAGTGGTGAAGTTATGGTATGGGCGGGTCTTTGGTTGGGCAACAGACCCATGGGTCACGAAGAGATGTGTGATGGATTCATGCATTCAAATGTTGCTTCCTATCCCCTTGTGTCCTTCCCCAACTTTTCTTGGCATGGCTCTAGTAAAGGCTAAACTCTAACAGCAAGACCGACGTCCCATTGTTGTCCGTTAGACGGATGTTGTGAAGTTTGTGGAAAAGTTGGCCAGCTGTTCCATGACAATAATGCCTCATGGATCGTATAAAAGACTTGTCTCTTGCTTCTCAATCTCCTTCCAGTTCTTCACAACAGATATTCTCGCAGATTCGCACAGGAAAGCTTCAGAACAACATGCACTTCTCTACCACCGTCCTCGGGGCTCTCACTTTGACAGTCCCAGCATTCGCTGAACGACTCCTCTGGAGCGGATATGATAGAGTGACTGGGATGTACCTGGAGTCGCTCAACCCTTTCATCGTAAGCGGAGCCCTGCAGCATACATTACAATACATTACAATGCCGTGCTTGATGTCGAGCGCTATTTGCATTTGTCGCTACTGAAGTTGATGGCTGATCCCTGGACAGCAAGCATGCATGTATCAGAAGGCAGATACGTTCAACGTTCAGTTGGTGTCTGCCTCAGATCTCTGTCAGATCGGAGGAGGCTTCAATGCGAACGCCGCGAAGTGGGTGTGGAAGGAGGTCAGTCTTCCTGTCGCAGCTTACGTTCCAAGCATGACCATGGGAAAGTAGAACTTGACGAAATACAGGTCTTGCCATGTGCTCAGGAGACCTCCAGAGCTGTCTACTTTCTGTATCCAAATTGGAACGTCACTAACTTCGATGGCCACAACGGAACTTACGCCGAAGGTCAGTAGTGATCACTGTCTAAGATCGTCTTGATTTTACTAACGATGCTTAGAGCTTGCTGAGTACCAGGAAACCCTCTGCCCTCTCGAACTTGGAGGTGGTTTCTACTCGAGCGAGGAGGACTATTAGAGCACAAGATCTCACTGTGGAGCGGTCAAACAAGTGTTATCGCGGGGTTTGAGGAGTGAACCGGTACCTGTCGTTGAGGAAGATGTCGTATCTGGGCTACGAATTACACAATTTTCTATCCTCGTATCCATGGTTGTCTGTTGCCTATTAAAGATGTTACGCCGCCAAGGCCGCTTCGAAAGCATCTTAGTACATCCACTCCGGTCCTCTTTAACTCTTTCGCAACCTCTTCGGTTTCTCTTAATTCTCTCGCGTCCATAGTTTGAGAACCTTCCATGATCATCGTGTAGCTGTGCAAAGTTATGCCGCGTCGGCAAACGCTGACCTCGCTTGCAAAATTGACGCGTCTCTTGGGGACATTCGAATTCAATCTGCAACCAACTGCTTTGTCACATTGACACTTGACAACTATTAATGGAGGCATGGCGAACCTCTGTGTTGAGCAAAGGATTTTCACATTTTGGGGTGACTCTTTGTGGCTGACCTGATATTCTTTTACTTTCGAATGGACCCCCGCTTGGCCATACTTCTTTCGCTCCGTCAGCTCTGATGTTACGAAACAGGACAGGACCAGGAGAACCGATGAACCTAGATCGCACAAATGTGCCATGTGGCCGCATGCAACGATTGTGGAAATAACTAGGTTTCCCGCATTAAGCCCGCACTTTGGGAGACCCTTCCATTACAGAGTCTCATCCTCTTGATTTGAGTTCTTGGTCCCTGGGTCTATTGGACATCGCATGGGTTGTGGAAGTATGTGGATGCCGAAGAGTGGTTGACAACAACATACTTCCGTTGTGGACCGCATTTTCTTTGGAACCGCTTGATAGCTTCGAGCAGCGAAGTTGTAAGTTTGCATGATATTGTATCGTTCCGAAGTTGGATCAGATATCGACCCGCTTTGCAAGTCTGTCTACGCCGTCAATGCATAGCTGAGATCTTTTAAAACCTGCCTTCTTTCTCCTTTCTCGCTGCACTTCTTCCAGCACATAACGATCACTGAAACATCTAACGGCGACTCAACATGCTGTATGCACCTCGCAGGACCACATTCCTGGTCTTGACGACCTTGTTCCTTGCCTTTT